AAGCCAAATTATTAAAAACACTACAGCAAGAAAGATTTTCTATCATCAGTGCTCATGTCAAATGTTTCTATTCCGAGACAGGCTGTATGTTAATATTCCCAAATGAAAACTTAGACACTGACGTGATCCAGAAAAATAATCTAATTCGAACAGACGCATGTTGTCCTGTGGTGAATTGGAAGGTCGAGCTGTTCTGTGTCTGTGCTGTGACTGAAAGAACATCGGTTTTGTGTTTTGTTGGATGAGGATAACCTGGATGAGGCTGTCAAGTCGATGCCTAGAGCCGGGGTAATGTGTGTCCTGCCTGTCCTCACCCAGCTTGTTCCTGTTAGACAGCAGGATGGAGGTGCAGTGGAGTACATGAGGCAGAGCTGCCTGGACGAGCTCCCAGCGGGAGATGCTCTGGATGGCCTCTGACAGGGCCGGCGACAGCCCGTGGAGCTTATTCTCCACCAGCACCCGTTCAAAGGACTGGGGAGGCAGCCAGGGAGGAGAAGAAAAGAGACATCAGCCAGGAACTAAAGCCTTTTTCTTTGACTATCTAAATGTCCCACATGGCCTCCAGCGAGGCGATGCCTGTGGGAGAGACACTGGCAGCTCTGTTTAGACCCACAGGGATCTGGAAAAGTGTCATTACGGATATGAGTTTCCACAGGTCTGGCTCCTGGGTAATAGGAGGAAGAGAGGGGGGGAAACTCATTTGCTAAATGCAAAATCAAGGGCCCACTTTATCTGCAGGTGCATTAAGTAGAAAACAGATTAGTGAGAGAGGGAGCGATTATTCCCCATCAGCACACAAACGGCTTTATGAAATGACTTACCACACAGGAGGCTTCATACTGCTTTCCCAACTTTGGACGCAGAAATGCACTGAAACATAAAATAACAAAGCAAACATCCTCACGTGACGTTTTAAATCTCAGCTCCTCCACACGCCACCACTCTCCATGCAAATGTGATTTACAGGTGTGACATCATGCAATCTGCATCCGTCTCCATGCACAGTTAACACCGCAGCCCACCTCCCTCCATTTGAAACATCAGTGCACTGACACACTCAGTGGCACAGTGGTTTGAATCCTAATGAGCCGCTGCAAACAATGTTGACGCCGTGTCACATCTTCACATGCTCCTGTGCGAAAGGCAGACACCTGTTATCGCGCACTAACCTGGTCTGCCTCCATAAGAAGGTCTGGATGGGGAACGGTATTCCTTTCCCGCACTCCGGCTCGTTCTCGTCCAGGCTTTTCCTCTTCACCATTTTGGCCGGAGCCGCCTGCACCGCCCGCCTGAGCGCGACCACCGGGCGGCTGCTGCCTCTGCGCAGGTGACCAGCGAGAGCCTCCCCTCACGACATGACCGGGTTCGCGCTGCGTAAAATGGCTGCAAGTGTCGGTCGGTCGGTCGGTCGGCGGCGGAGGTGGAGAGAAGGAGGAGAGGAGGAGGAGGAGGAGGAGGAGAGGAGGACGGGGGGCTGCTCTGATTCTGGTGCCAGCGCCTCCCTCACCGGACACTGACAGCTGATCAGCTCCGCTCATTTATCCGGCGGAGCTTAAAGACGCAGTGTGCAGCTGCGCCAGATGTTTCCAACACACACACACACACACACACACACACACACACACACAGAGAGATGCTGCTGTAACATGTAAACACGTTTAAATATCAACAGGTTTTTTATAATGATGTACAGTAAAAGGTGCAGCACAAGCAAAGTGCAAGTACTTGTACATAAATACAGCACTTATAAATGGAATTTAAGTATTTAGTATTTTTAACTTCATACATTTTTGGGATTAAATCTTCATTTTTAGATCTTATTTCATGTCGGGTGATAAAAAAAAACCCTTCACAGCAGCTTCCACCTGTGACTGAGCTCCATGAGGTCACGTAGTGAGAGACATTAGATAACATGTTACACAGAAATGACAGGATAAGGGAACTTTATCACGAAACTATAACTTGTTAATTCAACTCAAACACTAGAGACTCAGTTTTTTTTTACAACAAACAAACAAGTTCAACTCTTGTTTATACCTTAAACATCCGGTTTGTGGAAAATCTGCAGAAATCCAACAATAAAATAACACGCGCGTCTTCACTGATGTAAAATCATCAGGTGAAAAAAGCGTGAAAACGTTTTAATCAAGTAAAAATTTGCCCGTTTTTAATGAAAATCGGGAACAGACGCTGTTCTTCTTTTTCCGAAGTCCGCCATGTTGGATTGTTGTTTACAGCCGCCATGTTTCTACCGAGGCCGAGAAGAGACCGTACCTGCAGACAGCACCTGCACCGCTAGAGGGCACCAAACCAAGGCTGGTGGCTATTAGCCTGCTAGGCTAACAAAAAAAAAACTTACCAGATTACACTAAATCAAAGTTATTAGCCTGCTAAGCTAACTTAAAATACACTAGACTACACTTACTCGAAGCTATTAGCCTGCTAAGCGAACTTAAAACTTACGTGATGGCACTAAATTCAACAAACTGGTCCTCGAAGTTGATTCAGTAAAAAGTTTGCGGCCATTAAACGAAACAGCCACATCACATTCAAGTGTCAAGAAAAAAATTATCTGGACCCTGATAATAATAAGTTATAG